TGTGCAAAACGCCATCAACGCATCTGAAGAGATAGTAAAAAAAAAAAACACATCAAGGCAACAAGTCGTGGTCGTGGAAACCACCAGCGGTCTCATGTTCGCACACAGGAAGAGGCACCCAACTGGGAAAACATGGAAACAACAAAGGAAATGCAGACCTCGGGGAGGTATATGTTATAATTCCTCCTGATCGCTGTTCATATGTCTATCCTTTTCGTCAGATTGGCCCCCATTAGTTCTTCGTTCCGCGTGGTCCCCACAGTCAGTGCATTTTGTACCAGTCGGTTTTTTTGCCCCCTCGCAGGAAGGAAACCGCAGAATGGCAACCGCAGAATTGCGCGACGACCCAATTGGGAGCTAAGCGGGGGGGAAAAAAACCTCTGACCTGTTGGACAGTCAGTCATCTGTTGTCATTTTGAGCGCGCGTTTGAAGTGTATATATATCTGCGTCTAAATTGGCCATTTTGTGAACACAAAACTGGAAAAAGTTGGGCAAAGAATTTCAAAAATGCCCATTCCACGCCGTTGCCGCCTTACCGCCATGCAGGGCCGCAAAATTCACAGTGCTCAGAAAATTAAGAAGCTGATCGGGGCGCTGGTGCAAAAGTGGAGGCGCCAAATTTTGTCTCCAGCCGCGTGTACATCTGTGTCGCATCCCCTGCGAAGGCAGACAGGAAAATTCCCCCAACACTCCTAAGGGGGGAAATTTGGCCAAGTTCATAAAAGTGGAAAAATTACAAAAATGGGCAAATAGAAAAAAAGGGGGACGTTTACAAAAAAGGCCAAGTCGACAAAAATGAACAAATTGACAAAAATGGCAAAATTTGCTCCATTGACAAAATTTGCCCAACTGACAAATTTTCCAAATTTCCCAAATTGACAAAATTGCGAATTTTCCCAAATCTGGCCGAATCGCCAAAGTCGCGTCTGCAACGCCCGAGAGGCAAACCGATCTGTCGTTTTGAGGCGAACCTATCTGTTGTTTTGAGGAGAACCGATCTGTTGTTTTTCGCAAAGTGGGATAGCGCACCGGGGAGAGCTTCTCAATTGGGCGGGTCACGACAAGTGGGTCAGTTGAGAGAGGTCCACGGTGGGCACAGCCGCAACGACTGCCAAATGGTAAAAATCTCTCTGTGTATATCTCGCCCGTGTTGATTTGTGTATATCTTCCCCCGTTCTTTTGCGTATATATTGCCCCTGTCCTTTTGTGTGTATCTTCCCCCCCTTCATGACTGAAAATCCGGCTGGAAAGAAAGATGAAGTGTCGGGTGTTGGTCCTGCTGCTCCTCGTTGGGGTGAGGAGGGGCAGAGCGAACATCGTGGAGGATGACATTTTCTACCAGAAGGAGGAAGTAGAGAAACTTAGCTTCTCCCTTGATCACCGAGTAAGAGATAAGTCCACGAAGGAAACGGTGGGACACACAAATGGGGTAAATGCCTATGCGTATGTAGACAAGGCAATTGCGAAAGTATTCCCCCTAATCTCTGAACAGGAGATCAAAAAATTTTTTTCCCTCAACAAAGATGTGAAGACGTGTGATTATCAAATCGGAAAGGGGTCCTTCAAAAATTACCTAAAAAATAACAGCTGTTACAGGAAGATCTTCTGTGGGGTTATCGTTGACGATAAGGACATACGAGGAGAGTCCAAGAGAAAACGGAAAAGCGACTTAATCCATTGCGCCTACATGGATGATAAACACATAGTCATTTACCACGTGGGGAAGCCACATGTCGTGAAGCCAAATGTTGTCTACGAAGAAATATTTTTCCAGGAGAGGGAAAAGGGAATCATTAACTGTAACGGCATGAACATTAACCTAAGGTATATAGGCATCCACACGAGTGACAACAACAGCTGCATACAGGAGTACTTCGAGGAGCATCTGAAAAAGGTGTGTAATCAGAAGAGGTCATGTGAAATTGACTTCAATAATGTGAACAAGGGGAATAATTGCCACCTCGGGTCCAACTTCCTCATCCACGTTAATTACGAATGTGAGGATAGCTGTAATGCGAAGAAGAATCAAACGTGTGACATTTACAACGGGGAGGGGCGCGTCGCTACTTGCAGTTACGGGTATAACATGCTGCAAGGTGGTAAGGAGACTTGTGAAAGGAACTACACGTGTAGTGGTAGCGGCGGTAGTGGTAGCAGTGGTAAAGGTAGCAATAGAAGCAATGGCAGCAGTGGTAGTGGCATCTGTTCGGTAAACCAGTTCTGTGATGAGGCAACCAATTCGTGCACCTGCAAAACGTCTCTCCTGTCGGTGGAGAAAAAAGAATGTTCCTACACTGACGTGTGTAAGGCGATGAAATGCCCTCAAAACTCCACTTGCGCTCTTAACCCGAAGTCGAAGAAAGCAGAGTGCAAGTGCGAACAGGGTAAGTATTTCCACAAAAACAGATGCTACGACATAACAGAAATGGAGAAACTCATAAAGGCACAGACCACTCCTCATGACAAAGCATACAAAAATGAACTCTTCATCCGTTCCGCTTTAAAGCCTGAACATATTTACATGAATTGTGAAGGAGACTACACCATCGAGGTGGTTAATGCAACTCTCTCTTGTTACAACGTTCCGTTCAAGGACAACAAAATTAAGTATATCACTGATACTCTGCGGGAGGTTTGCGACGGCAGGGCTAGGTGCGCCTTTGGCAACAGCCTGAAGAGGGTATCCACGCTGGATCCGCTTAATACGTGTGAGACCAAGGGAACCATTTATCACTACGAATATGTGTGTGTCAGTGTGCCAGGGGAATCCTCAGCAACATCGTCAAGGGCAGCAGTCTGGGCACAACTGGGGAGTGATGCCTCCCAGAAAATCCACACGAAGGGGAAGGGGGCAATTTTTAGGAGCAGGTTTAACAGCCAATTACAATGCCCAGGGGGATCAATAACAGTAAACAGGGCTCTGTTAAAAGCGGGAGACGGGTGCGAAGATCTCGACTTAACTAAGTCCGTTAAGGAGTACTGTGATCAGCTGAGCTTTTGCGACGTCGGATTAACACATCACTTCGACACATACTGCAAGACGGATCAGTATCTTTTCGTTCATTACACCTGTGAGGACCTGTGCAAAACGTGTAGCGCTAATGAAACCTGCTATGGCAACAGGCATAAGTACAAGTGCTTCTGCAATAGTCCCTACGTGAGTAAAGGCAGTTATCCCGTTTGTATAAAACCACAGAAGTGCGAGCCAAACACATGCGGCGAACATCAAACATGCACAATCGTTAACAACAAAGCAACATGCAAATGTGAATATAAATACCGAGATGTTAATGGGGAGTGTCTACCGGAAGATAAGTGTGATCTTCTCTGCCCCTCAAATAAATCCTGCGTGATGGAAAATGGCAGAAAAATATGCAGGTGTCTTAATGGGTTGAGTTTAGTGAACGGGGTTTGTATCTGCCCGGAGGACAGTAAATACGAAGGAGATATATGTATTCCGAACAATAAATGCAAACGGAAGGAGAACAAAAATTTGTGCACAAAGAAGAATGAACAATGTGTGTATAATGAGCAGAAAGATATTATGACGTGCGATTGTATGGAGCACCACAAGCGGAACGAACAAGGAAATTGTGTCCCAATCGATTACTGCAAAGAAGTCACCTGCAAGGAAAATGAGGTCTGCAAAGTGGTAGGCAATAAAGCCACATGTCAGTGTAAAGAGAATTTAAGAAGGAACAGTAACAACGAATGTATATACGAAAATTTGTGCGTGAATAATAGAGGGAACTGTCCCCAGGATTCAGACTGCATTTATCACGAGAGAAAACAGCATGAGTGTCGGTGTCATAAGAAGGGTCGCGTCGCTGTTAATGGGAAGTGTGTCATCCCTGATATGTGCATGACTGAGCAGAATAAATGCTCCGAAAATTCAATCTGTGTAAATCAATCAAATAAGAAACCACTGTGTGTATGTCTGTTTAATTTTGTGAAGAGTCGAGTGGGTCGCTCGAAGGAGGGGGACCAGATATGCGCGGTGGTTAACCCCTGCCTCACGCATAACGGGGGGTGCTCAACAGCCGAGGTTTGCACGTTTAAGAATGGAAAGGTGAGTTGTACCTGCCGGGAAAATTATCGGCTCGGGGGGAAGGGGAGCCAACAGGGATGGCCGGGGCAACGCCGTCTGCTGGGCCAACGTGGTCTACCTTGGCAACGGGGTATGCCAGGACAACGAGGTCTGCCGGGACAACGAGCTCTACCGGGAGAGATGGACCCACCAGAAGATAGGGCCTGTTTTCCCAAAACATCTCAGAGGGACAAAACCTTCACCTTCCCGTGGGACGACGACATGGTCATCATTCTCGGATCCTGCGGAATCATCCAGTTTGTACAAAAAAGTGATCAGGTCATATGGAAAATTAACAGAAGCAATAACTTTTACATTTTTAATTATGAGTATCCATCTGAGGGTACGTTGGAGGCACAGATTGCTAACAACAATGAGAGCAGCATTCTGTACTTGAAGAAAACACACAGGGGAAAAGTCCTTTATGCTGACTTTGAGTTGGGTCATGAGAAATGCTCCTATGAAAACATGTTTCCCTACGGTCACCGAAAGGTGGCTTAAGCAGTGCGCTTATGCATACTTTGGGGTTTCGCTCCGGCTTTACGTTTCTATCTCCCCTCCTCCTTCACTGCTTTATTTGCACTTCTTTATTTCCAATTCTTTATTTCCAATTCTTTATTTCCACTTCTTTATTTCCACTTCTTTATTTCCACTTCTTCATTTGCACTTCTTCATTTTCACTTCTTTATTTCTACTTCTTCATTTTCACTTCTTCATTTTCACTTCTTCATTTGCACCTTTTTTGTGGGCGGCACGTTGCTTGTCTTCACTGGCCGACTCACCCACCGCTAACACCGATTGATTAACCTCCCTGATGGTGGCACTCTCCTAATGAGAGTGCAAGCTGGCACGTTAATTCATTCGATCGTTCCTTTTTCTTTTCTACTGCAGTGAACGGGGTCGGGGGTCGGGGAAGTCCTTACAAGAGTGACGCTTCTCCCCCTCCGCGGCCCCCACTTCCCTACGATCGAATAAGACTCTCCATGTTAGAAAACTAATTCCTCTTCCAAGTTTCAAACAAGAAATCCTTGGCAGAGGTTTTGCTCCTGCACAAGGTGATTCCCTGCTCTTTGCAAGAACTGGACAGAGGGGAGGAGTACGACGACTCGTTACGATCTTCGAAAACGTCGTCGATAAAATCCACGAGGATTTCAAAATGCAGATTTAAGTGGTTCACCAGTTTGGCATTCTTAATGTAGTGTATATATGGGAAGATAGCTATCCCATGGTGCCTGATTTTCTTTAAAAAGTTTACCACTTCGCTGTGGATGTTTCCATCGTTTTTGTTTGTCACCTGGTGAGGCGTCGAGTGGAGGAATATTTTCAATCCGCACTGAGCGACCTTCTCTAAACAGGTGCTTCCCATCTCGGTGTTGTATATATTTTTGTTGAATCCGGGGTCTAGGAGGTACACCGAATCGACATAAGAGAAGAGAAGCTCCCCCTGGTTGGCCTCCCTCATCAGGGCGAACAAAACGGAGCACCCCCTGCTGAATCCGATCAGAACGAGTCTCCGTTTTAGTGGGCTCAGCGATGGGGATCCATCAGTCTGGGCACACCCCCCATGTGCACTTGTCTGGGTCTCTTCTCTAATAGAATCAGCGTACGTGGTGCCATTAGTAGACGCGGCGTGCCCCCCGTTTTCCCCTGATAACCGCTTATCGAGTGATAAAAGTAGGCATAACAAATGGTTCACACTTTTGGCGGGCACGATCGCATCGCCGGGATTTGTTCCCCCTGTGTTGATGTGATCTGTCCCTCTTGCCGCAACCACATTGTGTCCATGGCTGCTAATCGAAATATCCGATGGATTCAAAAAATTGGAAAAGGAGGAAAAGTGATTTATAAAAATAGTAGGCTTAATAAAAACTAAGTGGTCATACAGATATTTGGAGGATAGGACCCAGAATAGGGCTTCATAACTGTAACAGTAGTCTGAGCATTCGTTTGTCGATTCTAGCTTAAATGAAGTGTATATAGAGTTGGTGAAAAAATTTGAATAGTCCCCGGGGAAGAAAATAATGTACTTACTGACATAAGATTTGCTCGTTCGTATGGGCTCCCTGTACAGCACGGTGTTGCACCTGTTATTGTAGCCTGCCAAATTGTGGACGCTGAAGCAGATCGGCATTTTTTAAGACCGTTCGCATGGGCAGCAGGGGGGTAAGCAGGGAGAGAGGGCCAGTTTAACTGGGGAATATCTTTCGCAGAGAGGATCAGCGGTGAACCGTCAGTGTTGTGGGAATAACTTTCACGGGGGTGTTTTTGATGAACGTTGCCCAATTGAGGGGTTAATCTGATGAAGTTGTGGGGGGATCAAAAGAGAAGTAAAAAAGATGAAATGCAAATGGGCAAATATAAAGACGCTTCCCATAAGACAAGAAAAAAAAAAAAAAAAACTACTACTCAGCAGCGTTACACGTGCATGCTGAAGTGGCCGCGCAAAACATCGCGTAGTGCTGCAGAGGACCACAAGGGCACACCAAAGGTTGGGGACGCAAATAACAACTTTGCCATTCGAAATTGCGGTTAGGGAAAAAACACAAAAAGGGGAAATGGTAAAAGTGAACAAATGGAAGGGTAGCACATATGCGTATAGGTCCCCTCACCGAAACAATTGCAGAACTGCTTGTTTGAGAACCCCACGTTAAGCACATCGTGGGGGTGAAGGGGATCGGGGAATGTAAACAACTTCTCTACCAGGTGCCTCCCCGTGACATGTTGGCACAGAAATCACCTGCCTGTTCATGTAAAAAATGTGCACAATCTTGTTCCCCAGCTGGTGGGTACAGGTGGTAAATTTTTTTTTTTCTTCTTCTCCTTGGTTGGCCTGTTGGTGCGCAGGGAATTGTGCCGCTTAATTGAACCGAATTGTGTCGCATATTTGAAACGAAATGTGCCCCCTACTTGAAGACGACTTCTCCCGCTTAACGGTGTCTCCGCGGCCTACAAGTGGGGTCCTGGGCCTCTTCGCGGATTGCGGCACTGCAGGAATTTTGCTGCGAGAAGGGGGGCGCATTTGTAAGAAGTTTCACCTGCGTGTGTGCATTTGGTAGTTTGCTCGTTTTCGCCTTTTCGGCATGGCAAAAAGGTGGTAACTTTTTGTGCGCATCTTTTTATTCCCCCCCTTTGCCCTTCTAGCCTCGCCCCATTTGGCTGATCGGCTGGAACTGCTTCCGCGCATCTTCCCTAATGTAAACTTCCAGGGGGGGAATCCCCCCTGCCCAACTCTATCGTCTGATTGCCCAGGAGAAGCTTCGCGTGTAGGAGGAAGAACCCCTTGTCCGTTTTCCCCTTCGTGGCGGTCATTTGAACCACGCCCTGTTTGTCCATGGCCTGAATAAACACCTTGCTGTTCAGGTAATTTTTTTCATGCACTCCAGATATGCTCAAAATCTGAATTGGACTGTTGCCCATAATCTTGTATAGCTGGTCATTGTGTAGGACAAACTGTTTGACGAAATTTAAACCAAAATAGGAATTTGTATAAATGTAGATTCTTTTAATGGCGAGAATGGTAGAAAGGAGGAATGCGCAAAAGAGAAATTTCCCCAGATTTTTTTGCTTTTGGCTGAAGGTTTTTTTCTTCTGATCATATTTGTAAAAGTACGAATTGTGTGGAGGATTGCCATACACGGCATGTATTTCGTATTTGTAATGGAAAAAATTATTCACAAAGAGGCTTACACGATTTCGTAGGGATTTATTTCCCTCATTTTTGTGCAACTCGTCTGTTAACTTCTTCTTTTTAACCATCATTATATTGTTGATCTTCCATTTGTTTCCCTTTCGAATGATATTTAACATGTCCATATGTCTGTTTGGTACTCTCTTATCAGGCTCCATTGTGTTGTCTGCTGCTGTTTCACTGGCTTGACCGTGTTGGTGAGATTTCCCTCCATCTTCGTCACCCCTGCTTGAGGCAAACGATGACAGGAAGGATCGTAGCCTCTGTACAAGGAGCTTTATTTCTTTTTTTATTAAGTATGGATTTTCAATATAGTCCGAAATATCTTTCCCTTCTTCATCGTCCAGTTCGTCTGAGTCGTCGTATCCCCCCTTTCCCGTGTCTTTTTTTACAGCGTTCACATGTAGGTAAATGTGCTCCCCCTTGTGGGACAACAGGAGTTCACATTTTGCCCTTTCGTTGGATGAATCGATGTTCCCCTTTTTTTTTAAAATTTTCACACTAGTACTATCCGCGTAATTGAGGTACACCCTTAGGACCTTGACTGCGTCATCGATGTAGGAATGGCGATTTTCGAAGCTGTTATAGTACTTTGCGGTGAAAAGCAGGCCGCTGTTTATGAGCAGGAACCATGTGCTTCCCAGGCAAAAGGCAAAGGTGTTGTTTTTGTAAAAGCTGAAGAGTTTTCTGTTGACAAACATTTTGCACCCCCGCCGCGCCAGTGCTGCCTGATCGGCCTTTTTGCTGTGCGCTGGGTTTCACAGCTCTGCGGGTGGCGGCCTTGTCGCGCGCTCCTATGGAACACATTGTCGTGCTGGGTTCACCATTTGGTGGTAGCCGCTTCGCCACTTAGCCGCTTCCTCTTCTTTATCGCGGTGGTGTTGCTTTACACGAGGTCGCGGAGCACAGCATGCATACCTTTATCGCCGATGCATTCGGTTTACACTTATTGAGGGGCACGCACAGGTACTTAGTTGCGTGGGGTGAATTCTTTGATTCGCTTCATCCTTCTGGTCATTACGTTGCCCCCTTCGTTTGAGTGCCATGAAAAAGTTATGGTCTCCGTGGCGGTATTAGAAAAAAAGGGGCGTTCTTTCTCTCTCTCTATTTCTATCTCTTTTTTTTTTTTTTTTTTTTTGGTGCGTATGCGCAGAGTGATGATAAATGTGCTCGCTTTGGAGACTCCTGCGCAACGATGGAGTGGAGGCACCTTGGACCGATTCGCAATTTTCCTTTGTTAAGTCTTTGGTTACACAGGACACCTCGCTTTGTGTTTCAAAATGGAAAACATGTGCAGAATTTGCTGCGGATTTCCTTCTCTGCATAGGGATTTTTTCCTCTGCCTTTTTTGCAAGTTGCGCCAAGAAGGGGGACCCCCGCCCGGATATTCCTGAGGGCCCTTTTTCAAAAAGTGGTGAACATGACCCCGGGGATTAGCCCATTTGTCGGCGCCGACACGAGGGATGCCGCGTTTCTTCTGTTCTGCCCCTCGGGTTGCATGGCGGTGAACGAAATGGCAACCGCGCAAAAAGGCAGATTGCTAAGTAAGCGAACTGATGAACCGGCGAATGGTGAATTTTGTCAAAAGATCAGAAAAAGGACGCGGTGCACCACGCATGTCGGTTCATATCGAACTGGTGGAGTTGTGCAAGCGGGGAAGGCATGTCAAAAAGACAAAAATGTGGAGAAGAAAATGGGAGCAATTGGGCGCGCGTACTCCACTGTGCCGCCTCACCGGTGGTAGTACAGCAAAGAGGAGAACAGGGATAGCAGAAAAAAAAAGAGAAAGAAATTGAAGTAGGGCGAGTCGTGAATGGACGTTCGAAGGAGGTAGTAGATGTAGGGCAGGGACTTTTTCTGCTTCTGGAACCTGTCTTTTTCTGCCGCCCTATTGAGCCTGTTTTTTTTGGAGGATTGGCCCAGATTTTCCATAACGAGGCTATCCTGGACGATGTATTTATAAATGGGGGGGATGATGGCTATTGTCTTTTGGCTACGTTTGTGATGCGGCAAATTGTGAAAGGACAGGGGTGTGTTTTTTTTCCCCTTGGTGACAAAATTCATGTAAAT